GGGGAGGAGTGAAAGCCAGGCAGAGACCAGAGTGCGGAGAGCACAGCATAAGCTTCCTGGCCTCACTTCTCAACTCCTTCCCCCTGGGTCCCCGCAGGAGGCTGAGACTGCGAGTGGTGGATGCTCGGGCTGTGCACCAGGGCTTCCGGAGAATCTGGGCTGGAAGCCTGGGGGAAGCCTGCTCCCCTATAGCTCCGAAGAGGAGAAGAACAGAGCAGAGCGGGCCGTGGGCAGCAGAGAAGCAGCGGCTCATAGTGATTTTGGATATCTGGGTCCAGGAGGGACAGCTGAGCTCCTTCTCGTCCCAGCTGCTCTGCTGGGTCCAGGAGAGGAAAGGCTTGGTGCGGCTGGACTGTATAAAACTGTGCATTACAGCAAAGAACATTCCAAGTGCCGCGGAGTCCCTGGCCAGCTTGGATCTGAGCCAGGTGCAGGAGGCAGATGTGACTTTCAGCAGGGCAGTCTCCACCCTGTTTATCTTTACCCATTTCCTGAGCCATATGCCAAATCTTCACAAGCTACGAATCTGTGACACCTTTGAAAATCCGTTCATTATCTCAGGGGAGAGACAGCTGCCTATCACCGACTCTACCCCTCAGTTTCTTCAGCTCCACTATCTTCGGAAGATTTATCTGGACTCTGTCTCCTTCCTGGAAGGCCACCTTGCCCAGGTGCTCAGGTAAGAGGTAGGGCCATCCCTGCAGACAGCTGAGCTGTGTGTGCTCTAGGGGGATCAGTGGATGTGTGCCGGTGTACCCTGGAGGCGCAACAGATCACACTGGCGTGTCAGAGCACACTGCTTGTACACACCTTTTTTGTGCCTGGGGCCACACCCTGCTACACAGAGTAGCCACCATCTGTTGCTGGATCTAACTGCTCGGCCTCTGTAGGTGCCTGACGTCGCCCTTGGAGACCCTGTCATTAGTTCGCTGCCGGCTTTCTCAGGCGGACTGGGACCAGCTGCCACAGTGTCGAAGCACCAGACACCTGAGACACCTGGGCCTGTGTGGTACAAGACTGACCGACTTCAGTCCCAGCCCGCTCCAAAGTCTCCTGACTAACACTGCAGCCACACTGACCAGCCTGCACCTGGAGGCCTGTGGGATGACCGAGGCCCAGCTGTGTGCCATCCTGCCTGCCCTGAGCCACTGCTCCCAACTAACTGCACTCAGATACATGCAAAACCCCCTGTCCATAGCCACCCTGGAGAAGCTGCTGGCCCACACGGCCAGGCTAGGCAGCTTAAGCCTGGAGCTGTACGAGGTTCCTGAAGAGGTTCGCAGCTCTCCATCTGCCATCCCCAGGCTGCAGCTGGACAGGGTCTGCACAGTGCTGCGCTGGGTCATAAAGCCCCTGCAGCATCCCAGGACGGTCTGGTTCACAGGTCCTCACTGCCACCTCCATACTGACTGGGAGCTCCACTCCTTGCACCACACCCCCTGCCCAGCCTGTCTCCCCATCTAGGGGGACCCTCGCATCCTTGCTTCCTTCCTCCTGGGCACCAAGAACACAGAGCCCTCAGTTCAGAGCGAGCCAGAGAAGGGCAGGGTGGGCAGCAGGCCTTGGAGAGCAGAGGCCGTGGGGTTGGGTGCTGGACATGGCAAGAAAGAGGGATCTGCCCTTCTGACTGGGAATGCATGCTTGGGAGGATGCAGTGTGGAGCCAGGTGGACAGATGCAGTCATGAATAAAGACAGCTGTGGGCCAGCCACTGGGGTCCTCCGTGATCCCTCGACCCGGTTTCTAGCTTAGGACTCAGGAATCTGCAGCGGCAGGTGGAAGGGCCACGGGCTGTCTCATCACGGAGCTTTGGCCTCGGCACTTAGCTGGCAGATGCAGGTGCTGCTCTCTGCCCCTCCTGCCAGCCCACTCTTTCCCCGTGCAGCTGGACCTGTTCTCCGGGCTGCACCTGTTCTCCGGGCTACAGCCACAGACAAGGCCCTGAGGGAGCTCGGGGCCGGGCTTGCCTCTCACACTTGTCCAACGCTCCAGAGTGCTGTGATAGTAGGTGTGGGGCCTTACGCTTCGTGGTGTCCCCTTTTTTCTGTGCCTCTTTTGAGGTGCATCATAGGTTATCACCCCGAGGTACACATCAGAGACCCATTCTGGAAAGTAGAGCCCTGAAGGAATGGCAGGACACAATGGGAATACACATGCTTAGGAGAGGACAGGGGAGCCCGGAGGTCAGTGGGCTCTGAGAGGCCTCCCGGGAGTCAAGGGCAGCTGCCTTGACTCCAAGCCCACCAGGCACAGGGGTCTAGCACGGGCCACACTGCCCACAACAGACTGAGTGCCTTGGGAAGTGCTTTCTCCCTGGGGACACTAGGTGGTCACTCTGCTCAGAGGATCTAGGAGACAGGTTGTGGTGCGTGGCTGTGCTGACAGAGATCCCTGTGCCCGTGGGAGGCTGGCTCCCTGGCGTAGAGGCAGCAGCACCCTGTGTCCAAACCAATACCTCAAAACACAGAACAAATCAAAACAAAGGCCTTCAGTCCTTTCAGGTCTCCTTGACCTCAATTCCCATGCTGCTCTTTGTTCAGTTTCATCCTCTGATTATTTTCATTCAAGTGAAGAGCCCTGGGCAGCCTGTGGGTCCATCTTGCCTTGATGTCCCCTGTGGGAAGACCCCTGACACTAAGGGCGAAGGCCAGATCTATAGGACGCCAGGGTCTTGAGACTCAGCCTCTTCCTCTCCACTGCCCACAGGGCCATGGGGATGTGTGGTCCCTTCTCCGCCCACGGAAACAGCTCTCTCTGCTCTGCAGCAGCAGCTAATGTAGATTTTACCTTCTGAAGACAGTCGCCCTGATGGGGAGATAGCTCAGTGGCATAAGTGCCTATCTGGCAAGCTCAAGGTCCCGAGTTAGATCCCCCATACTGAAGGAAAAAAAAAAAAAAAAACAGAAACAAAACATAAAAGACAGCCGCTTAGCTGATCCTATTTGAAACACCCTTTACTATCTGTGGCAACAAAGGCTGGGTCTCCCACCTACCCTCAAGGAAAGTGCCGGGTTGGGAGCGTCACCAGGTTGGGAGTGCCACTGGTGAACGCTGCCACACATCCCTGTCAGCCACACAGAGACTGAGACAGAGATCGTGAGTGCTTGTTTTTCATTTTGAGACAGTATCAGACTGTAGTTAGGCCAGGCCAGCCTGGAACTCACTGTGCACTCCTGGCTGGCTAGAACTTGCAGTGACCTCCTGCCTCAGCCTCCCTACTGCTGGGATTACAGATGTGTGCCACCACACCTGGCCTCGGACCATGAGTGTGAAGCCAGCCTGGGTGACCTGTTACAACCCCATGTCAACAATGGGCTGCAGCTCTGCCCTCCCCAGTTCAATCCCTGGAGCTGGGAACGCCCCATTCTCTCCTGGGAGCCCCTCCCACTTATTTAGTTTCTCAGCCTCAGTGCTCAGAGCAGATCCCACAGCGACAAGGAGTCAGGCCCGCTCGGTCATCCTCGGGCCCCACTGGAGATACCCAGGGTCGCTGCAGCCCCAGCTTTCCCACCTGTCACCAATACCTACATCTGTGGACCTCAGCCTTGAGGGCCTGGCACACCCTGGTGGCCTTTCTGTGCCACCCTGACTGGGCACACGTTCCACAGTGTCAGGCGAGGATATCCTGAGTCTGCTCAGGAGTCAGCACAGAGATTTCTGTGCTGCTCCCTGGAGCTTGACATCACTATTTCAATGCAGCTCTCAGAACCCTGAGTGGTTTTTATTTTTGATGGTCCTAGGATTGAATTTAGGCACTCTACTTTTTTTTTTTTTTTTTTTTGCGGAACGAGGGATTGAACTCAGGCCCTTGCACTTGCCAGGGAAGTGCTTATTCCACTGAGCCATCTCCCCGGCCCCAAGGGACTCTACATTGATCTACATCTTTGGCATAGTTTTATTTTTCAATTGTAATATTGATGATTGATTGCTTGCTTGCTTCATTGATTGTGGTTCTGGCTGTTGAGCTCAGTGGCTTTACTATTTTTTTAATTAATTAATTTATTGTGCATGGCTGGCTCAACCCACCCTGGGGGTGGGGTTGGCATGGCATGTGGTGCTGGGGATCGAACCTCAGTCCCTGCTGCCTAACCTTGCTAAGCAGGTGCTTTAGACTGCTGAGCCACCTGGCCAGCCCTCAGTGCCTTTGCTCTTCACTGCATCCTCTGCTCTATTTACCTTTTTATCTTAAGCCTAGGGCCTGGCTAAGATGCCACATTGCCCAGGCTGGACTTGAACTCGTATGTGGCTGTCCTGCCTCAGCCCTGCAGAAAGCTGTGGTTACCAGCATACTCAGCTATTGTTTGTTCTTTAATGTGGTGCTTGGGATCAAGCCCAGGACCTTGCACATGCAAGCCAAGCTCCTGCTGCTGAGCTAGACACCAAGTGCCAGCCCTCTGCTTCTTACACAGCTTGTGCTGCTTTAAAGTTTTCAGGCTCAATGTTTCCAAAAGGACTTAGCATCCTGCCACGTAGTGCCTCTGCAGAAGCCAGACCCACACAGCAAGGGCCCCCAACAGCCACCACCAAGCCAGGACACCTGGAAGCCCAGTGCTCAGGAGGCTGAGGCAGGAGGATCACCATGAGCTTGAATTCAACTGGACTCTGTAGTGAGTTCAAGGGCAGCCTGAACTATGTAGGAGACCCTGTCTCAAGCAAAAGGGGGGCAAGGAAGAGGGCCCTCCCTCCCTGCCCCATCACCCATCCCCAGCCTACACAGAAAGGAAACAATCAGTGGTTGTTGGGGCTGCCCAGCAGGCAGAGCAGGGGCAGCCTTCCTCCAGTGTCCCTTCTTGGGGCAGTCCCCCCCACTTGCCCTTCTGGACCTGAAGCCACTCTGGACCCCAGCTGGGCTGGAGCTGACCCAGAGCCCAGGTACCTGGTCCCCTTCTGAGTTTGTGCCCGGCCCTGCTGGCCTCCAGCCCCTCCCCCGGCACAGCAGGCATCAAGGGGGATGACAAGGCGGCCTGGCCCCTCTGCCCCAAGGGCTTCCTGCCCACCTACCATTACATCCCATGGTGGGCAGCATGCTCTTGAAGTCACCCTTCACGTACCGCAGCGCCAGGCTGGACTTGCCCACGGAGCCGCTTCCCAGCAGGACCAGCTTGAACACGCGGCCAGGGGTGGTGCCAGGCTGGGGGAGCTGGCCTGCCTGCGCCATGCCCTGCAAAGCGTGAGGGTCGCTGTCCCAACCACGTGGCCCACCAGCGGGTCACACCGCTCTTTACTCCTTGAGCTCCACAAACCTGTTCCTCATCCTCCAAAGTACCTGAAGTACCTGAGAGAGGGGAGAGATACCTGGGCGCCTCTTGCCTGTTCACAGATAAAGTCAGAGCCAGCTGTGGTGGCCCACACCTGTGCTCCCAGTGCTCAGGAGGCCGAAGCAGGAGGACCACTTCAAGTTAGCCTGGGCTACATAATGAGTTCGAGGCCAGCCTGAACTACATAGTGGGACCCTGTCTCCAAAATAATGTATGAATGCATACATATATACATAGATTAAAGTCAAATGTTTCTCAAAAAAAAAAAAATCTCCCTAAAAACAGCTAATGCTCCCAGACCTCTGTACATCTCCAGCCTTCCTGTTACCTCCAGAGCTGCAGAGCCAGCACCAGGTTCTGCACAAAATCGTCTCTGGCCAGAGCAGAAAAAAGCCAAACCCGGATATGAGCTCCTTATGAAAACTCACACACACACACACACACACACACAGCGCCCAGCCACATGCCCACCCTCCACCAACCCACTCTGGCCAATCTCCTGTCACCTGCATCCCAGGTTAGAGTCAAGCCCAGGCACTCACCACCTCCAAACCCTGGGGTGGATATATATTTTTTCCTGGGGCCCCATGTGCTCGATGACTGCGTGTGTGGTGGTAAAGTTTTACCAAGAGTGTGTCATGGGAGCTGAGTGTGGTGGTGCACACCTGTAAGCACAGTACTTGTGAGGCTGAGGCAGGAAGATTGTTGTGAGCTCAAGGCCAGCCTGGGCTACAAAATGAGCTCAAGGCCAGCCTGAGCTTTGTAACAAGACCTTATCTCAAAAAGACAGGGGGGAAAGAGTGCATCGTGGTGCCAAGTGCATGCCCTTCTGAAAGCAGGTAGCATTTAGTCTCATTTTGATGGTCACAGTCCCTGAAGAGTATTGCTTGGGTGAGCTATGTCACTGTGCAGCTGCAAAATGGTGACATCCTGGGGTCGTCCCACGGCTTCTCATCCAGACTGCTTCCAGGATCAGGACCCCCGCCAACACCCACCTGCCAAGGGCAATGAGTCCTGTCATCAGCAGAGCCCTTGCTGCCCATCCCAGAAGGCAGCCAGCCCCTGCAGGGGCCAGGAAAGAGCACAGTTGGGAAGCCAAGTCTCAGACCAAGTGGAACAGAGTGCTCAGCAGAGATTATCTGGAGAGTGATGGATACTGGAGAGAAGGCGGGGACTCACCCTGCAGGAGGAGTGTCAGCACCCCAGAACCTGCCTAGGGATCCCCTCCAATTATTCCACACAGGCTCATGGCGGCTTCAAGAAGGCTGACATTGGCACTAGAACTATGCCTGTCCTATAGGGCTGGTGATAGTAGATAGCATGTAGTAGGCACTCAGTAAATATCTAGAGGATGGGTGGATGATGTGTGGATGGGTGGATGGTGGGTGGATGATGGATGGTGGGTGGATGATGGATGGATGGGTGGGTGATGGGTAGATGGGTGGAGGATGTATGGATGGGTGGAGGATGTGTGGATGGGTGGGTGATGTGTGGATGGGTGGTTGATGTGGACGAATGGATGATGGGTTTGGGGATGGATGCAGTAAAGCACAGAAGAGCATATAACCAGCACCTGTGCTTTGAAACACCTGCCTGGAACGAGGACAGCTTCTGGGCCTGACGGAAGGCAAGAGTGGCTCAGGTGGGAACCAAGTTGCCCGAGGAAGTGGGGGGCTGCTTCTGGGTGCAAGTGGCCTCCTCTCCTCTCTGTTGCTCTCTGGGCCACTTGAAGCCTCCAGCAACTCCTCTGCCAAGCCAGCCCACACCAGCAAGGGAGATGCACAGGTGAAAGGGAATTTGCAAGCTCAGCAATCCACCCTCCTGCAAGTCAGAGGACAGCCCCCCACTATTCAACCCGCACACAGACTCCAGTGTTTTGAGTGAGGCACCAGGAAGGTTGAAAATGTCCTGGAGAAGTTCAGGCCACCACGGATCACCACCAAGTTATTTGTCACAGAAAACCCAAAAGGATTGCCATCACAACCTCAGGACACATGGGCCACTAGTGTCATCCCAGGCACTGGCAGTGTCCCTGGATGTCCCAGGATGTGGCTGCCTGGGGACCATGACCGAAACATGAACAGAATGATGACTGGGGGCCCAGGCTGCACAGATGACAGATTTTAAGAATGGAATAGTGAGCTTTGGGGTCCCCTGGGCTCATGTCTTGTTTCCCACCTAAGGCCCTGCTTAGGAGGAAACACTCCACTGATGGGGGCCGCGGTGCACAGCAGTTGGCCTGCAGCGTGCCCCAACTGTTTATTAAAGACACCCCCAAAATTTCTCACTACTCTTCCCACAGATGAATAACACCCATCCTAAGCCAGCAGCGTCCTCGGCCCCAGCCAGTCCAAACTAAACGGGGGACACAGCATACAAACAGGCACACTCCTCCCCCCAGACACCAGCACTGCGTCTTCAGAAAAATGCATGTTTGTTAAAAAATAAATAATTTTATTACAATCATATAGTTGTCAAGAAATAGAGATGACACATAATCCCACATGCACAACCTCCACAAATGGACGTCCCCACCCATGGTTTTATGTCCCTAGGATAGTCTGTGCATGACTGCTGTCACGGGCCTCCCCTGGGTGTTTGACTGAGCCCACCATTTAGTGTTGGGTCTTTCTTCCTTCCTTCCTTCCTTCCTTCCTTCCTTCCTTCCTTCCTTCCTTCCTTCC